AGTGTTTTTTTGTCATCCTGTGTTTTGGGGGGGGGGGGGAAGTCATGGGGATATTTTCCTTCTGCAACACTGAGGTTTTTCTTCTCCTCTCAATGCCTTGCCGTCACCCCAAGAACAGTGGGGTAGGTGGGCCCCAACCCTTGAATTAGGTTGTATCTACCAGGTGCAGGGGAAGGGAGGATTTCCCTGACATGAAGACTTGAGAAAGGTAGACAGTAAGTCTCCCATGGTGGATGCAGTGATTTCAGGAAGGCAAAATGGTTGAAAAGAGCGGAATTAGGAAGATGGGACAGGCACCTGTTTGGATGCAGTTCTCTTGTTCCAGACGGGTGACACCTTTTGTAGAGGAGATGGGGTTTATCTATAGAAGGCTAAGTACCAGAAACCCCTATAGCATTTTAGGGCAAGATTCAGCAAAGCACTTCGTTGTGTTAAATTTTTATTCATTTCCTGACTTTTCTCTTAGCCTTGGTACGTTAGCAGAAGGGCACATCTAAATAAGTGGTTGCAGGCAGACCGGAGCAAAGTCTGCCTTTGCTCCGAGCTGTCAGTTCTAGGCCAGCCCTGAAGCGGGAGCTGCACAGCTCAGTAGCGAGCTACTGCGCCTGGCTCAGGCACCTAATGAAATATGTGCTATGTGGAAGGATAAGGGGTATCTAGTGTGTGATACTAAGCATAAATAATTTTCCTGTTCTATTGTATCCCTCAAATACTTATAAACCCCATAGAGACATTCATAATTAAGCACTGGCATGTCATCCATTGTATCTTTCTCTCTCTTTTTTCCTTTCTGTAGTGTTCCCAGTTGTTATACTGCTCTCCTCTTAAAGTTTAGGAAGCTCCTCTACATGTTTGTATTTGTCATTGCAGGTCACCGTACAGTAAGTTCATGTCCTAGAAGCATTCAAGGATTCCTCTATAGCTGAGTGCAGGAAACCCAGTTGTCTGTCAGCAACTTCCCTTTCTCCTTGCTTCTCTCGCTGTCCATTTTGAGACTTGTCCGTGCACTAAGTAAGAGTGTAGTGCCTTTTCCTACATTGGGCCAGTTAGTCTGGGCTTATTCTAGTGGTGATGGCAGAATCCTGTACTGTGGCACTGGACCGACCACATATGCGTGGTGAGGTTGGTCTGCACGTGGTGTGTGAGCCTGGTATTTTCCAAGCGTGGGCATGCTGAGCACATGCTACCCAGCCATCTGCTTGGGGAGTCCTGGGATAGAGATCTTGCTGGGGGTTGGCTGCTGCTCTCTGCAGAGGAAGCCATAGGGAAGGGAGTAGGTACAGGTGGGCTGTAAGACACCCTGTCATAGAGGCCATGTTGTTACACATCCTTGCATCCTAAGGATCTCACAGCCTTGGAGTTCAGCTGCATCCCAAGCTGTCTACCTCCTCGAGTAGTTATCCCAGAGTGGGGAGAGCCTTGGGCTCCTTTGGTCTCTTCATCTTGGTCTGACTATCCCAGCACCCTGGTCGCAGTCTGTGGGGTCCCTGTAAGCAGCTGCAGTGCCTCCAGGCAGGGTCTTTTACTGTACTGGGACTCAGGCACCAGCAGTAGAAGTAGTGGGCGACTCTGTTCTTTCAGCAAGTTGTTTCTGTTAGACATTGCTGGTACCAGGCCTGTGTGCCTAGGCTCAGCATGCAGGTCCCGCTCCATCTCAGCGTGAGGCGTTTTTCTCCATATACCATACCAGCTCCCTCGGCTCTTCTTACTCTCCTGCCTTACGGGAGATGGGCTGTAGGATGGGAGTTGTCATTTCCACTTCCACATTGGAAACTCTTTCATAAAGGAGTTTAAGTAATATGAGTGGTAGTGGTAGATTGAACTCCTTGCTGGGCTGGGTCATTGGTTTTGCCTGTTTTCCTCTATTCTGAGCTTGAACACATTAAAGAAGAGACTGAGACAGTTGCACTAAGGATAAAGCTACACACTATTGTATTTTTCAGACCATCACTCAGGAATCTGCTGTTGGGCTGTGTATGGCCTGTAGTTCATGGGTGGTTAATTGAGCACTTTAGCTTTGACTAGTATGTTTTACTTAACAATTGCAACAGGCTTGGAGCCTGCTGGGTCAGCTGCTGCTAACCTGATTGTCTTTAATTTTGCAAATATACCCTCAGATATTTCAAAATGTGGGCATCTGGGTGATGGAGGGGTAGAAAGGAAGGTGGGTACAAGTGTGTATGTGCATGTATATATACAGTTATACAGTTACAGTTTCTTCTATTGACAAAACCTTATATGGGTACTGAAATACAGGAATCTGCTTAAGATTTGCCTTTTGTATCAGGCCTTTGTAAATGGCGATACTTGCAAAGGGAAGTTGTAAATAATTGCAATTGTCAGCCTCCCTCTATCTCTGCTCTCTAAAGCTACAGAAGCGAGGTGATTGACCAGCTTTGTTATTCAAAGCATTTCCCTTAACAGCTGAATCCTGTGGGAGATTCCTCTTTGAGCAGCTTTCCTCTGCCATGGACTCTCCTGACAAGATCACAGACGGCTTTTGGTCTCTTGAGTGTCATGATGAACATCTAGTTAGGTCTATTTTTACATCTGAAATATGTTGAAAGATGCTATGCAGAGAAGAAGCAGTACTGTAAGATGTGAAAGTAGTCTATACAGGCTAATGCTTTTGGGGACAGTATGCATTTTCCTTCCTGTTCCTGAAATTTCTTATGTCTATAAAATCATAAAACTTGAATGAGTACCAAGAAAATAGTCATGACCATACGATGTTTTGATTTTCTCTTTTTGTACCAAGACTGAAATTCTGTGCTTTATAGCTGCTCTGGTGTGTCCTATTCAGCTTCAAAATTTTCCATTAAAATAAATCCATTGCGGTAGTTACTGCTACTCTAAACAATTAATTGGGAAGAAAAAATTATGACACACACATGTTCTTCTTCACCCTTTTATTCTGCCCTGAGTGCTGGTACAGTGTCAGAACAGCCTTTCAAGGGTTGAGAAAGTACTTTGGCCTGAGAAGATGGTGGGGGAAGTGGTTGAAGAGGGGAACTGGTGGCTGAAACCTCAGCTGCTTAATTACTGTTTATTGTGGGAATTGGGCAACTGACAGTTTTGACCAGAATATACCTGGGTTTGGAGTGGCTGTCACTTCACTGAGATTACAGACACCGGATTTCGTTGCAAACTGTTTTGACTCTGGTGTGTAATCGGGGATCTTGGCTGGCAGGTTAGCGTCATTGGACCTGCTGACCATACTGACGTGGCCTTGTCATGGGTTGGGAGGTGAAGGGTACCCGCTCAGCACGCAGGTGCTGAAGTGGTTCCTGTCATCTCTGCATGTTGCCACGTGCTCGTAGCTGCGACTGGCTCACTGCCTCCTCTACAGCCTGTGAGGCTGGGTGCTGTGGCTGGTGTCTCGGCACTTGCAAAATGGACCAACCTTGACTTGCTTGGGTGCAGAGTTGCTGTTTGCTCTAGTTTTGGAAAGCAAGGGGTGGGACATTACTTGCTTATCACCTTTCTCTAGGTGAAGACAACCAGTCCTTAGAAGCTGACTGCTCCTAAAAGTTGTGGTATTTAAGGTAGGATGGTGATGTAATCTGTTAATTTTTCTCCTTTGTTGTGTTTTTCTACATTCCAGGAAGGGTGCTTGTGGCCTTCAGAAAGCTCAGTATCGCGCCAGGGTGCTTCAGAGGTACAGACAGATTTCTTGTTATCCTCACCGATGTGCTTTCCTCTTTCCTGTTATATATGTTTGGCTCCTCTCAAAAACATTTAGTAAATAAAGCTTTTTCAGTGTAGACCAAAAGCCAGGTTCACGTGGACATCGGAGCCTGCCTTAACTCCCATTCCATAAATGCTTAAGAATTTTTTTATTGAAAGAATGAAATTCTACCTACCTGACACCTCATTTCCATCTGCAGCTCCCTATATCATAGTAGGCATTCACAGGTAAGTGGTGGAGGTGTCTGTCATGCACTGGCTCAGTAATTTGAGTATTCAGTGGAATGCAAGACCAGTTGCTCTTCTCCCTGTGTTTTTCCTGGGTTTACAACATGTATCCTATCACCAGTGTCTTCTGGCTAGCACAGATCTCTGGTCTGAGTGATAATTTGTGGGTGTGTTGCTCCAAGTGGCCCAGCTCACCTGTTTCAAATGGTGAATCTTCCTGGTGGCTGACCTTGCATCTGTGAGGGTCAGGGACTGAAAACCCTGCCATGGACCCAAAAATGAGAAGAGCAGTTTGATAGATCTAGATCTAAGAAGCTGGTGTGTCTCTCTAGATCTGGATAGACCAAGTGAGGAGCAATAGCTTCTCACGGAGTGTCTTGAACTCTTCCTCTTGTAAAGACTGACCTTTTCTAGGGTCATATGCCGGGGATGTTTTTTCTATTCATATGCCGGGGATGTTTTTTCTACTCGCAGTGCAGAAGCCTTGCAGGTCCTCCCCGGCGGCTGAGCTCTGGCTGAGAACTGAGGGGGAGGAGGACACCTGATACACTCTGGTAGTGAAGGCGTGAGATACGCCAGGCCTTTACAAAATGTACTAAAATGACCATCTGAATTCTTTGGTGATGCAGAGTTTTACATTAACTCTGAGTAGGAGGGGGAGGCTCAGACTGCAGCTGAAATTCAGTATTGGGACATTTTCCTAGAACTAGTTAATTGTCAAGATTAGCGAGGAAGTGTTTCCTATGTACAGAAACGATTGTTTTCTCTTGGCTCTGCATGTTTTAATGTCAGAGGGAGCTGTGTGAGGTCTTGGTCTTCCTTTGTGAAGCTGTTCTCAAGTATCTTGTGTTAGATCCTTCCTGCAACTCCTACCTCTTCTCTTCACATGCATGTGTGTGGGAGCACGCGTGCACAATACCTGCTGGGTTTACACTTTTAAGATAGGTGGTGAAGAGAAGTATTTTCTGTTCTAGCAGTTCTTTGTAAATACAAAGCACCCATAGTGCTTTTTTCAGACGTGGAGTCACGTGTTTCTCTCTTCCCATTTCAGATCATGTATGCTCCAAGGTCAAGGGACAGGTTTACTGCCCCATCTTTTATGCAGCGGGACCGTTTCAGTCGCTTCCAGCCTACTTACCCTTACATGCAGCATGAGATTGACCTTCCTCCGACCATCTCCCTCTCTGACGGGGAAGAGCCACCACCGTACCAAGGCCCGTGCACCCTGCAGCTCCGGGACCCAGAACAGCAGATGGAGCTCAACCGGGAATCTGTCAGGGCACCACCCAACCGAACCATTTTTGATAGCGACTTGATAGACATCTCAATGTACAATGGGGGCCCCTGCCCACCAAGCAGCAATTCGGGCATAAGTGCAACCAACTATAGCAGTAATGGAAGGATGGAAGGACCACCCCCGACGTACAGCGAGGTCATGGGGCATTACCCAGGCTCCTCTTTTTTCCATCACCAGCACAGCAACGCGCCTCCTTCTTCGCAGAGGGGGAGCAGACTTCAGTTTCAGCAGAACAATTCAGAGAGCACAATAGTCCCCAGCAAAGGCCAAGACCGAAAACCGGGAAACCTGGTCTAAGTTACTCGCCCAGGTGCATTTGAACTGAAGACAAAAGAGATTCAAGCAGAGCAGTGGAGGAAGACCCCCATGCTCCGGTGCACAATGTTGTTACGTTTCACGTGGTACAACTTAGTAAAACCAAACGTGCAAACCAGTTCTTTGTTTCTGATTCCTTTCAGGGGAATTGCATGCAAAGCAGATTGAAAGAAATACAAACTTCCATTCAGTTTGTCTACAAGCAGTGTTTCAGGGGAGAGGGGGGGATATATTATTTTTTTTTAATAAACTATTTCAATTATTTAATTCTAAAAGTTAACTTAGCACAGAAATGAGGCTTGTACAGCCTGTTTTATACTCACTGAATGGCAGAAGGAAGAAGGTGGTTTTGCTAGATAAATGGGGGAAGAATTGGCCAGTTTGCTTTTTTTTTTCTCCCAGGGTGTGGATTTTTTTTAATATGAAACAAAATTCCTGTTTTGTGTGCCAAGGTATAAAGTTGAGAACTTAGATGAATGCAAGGAATTAATTTGTGTTGTGATAAATGTGTTTTTAAAAGTTGCACTATCTTAATGTTTTAAAAAAAATATATATGAGGGAACTGTTTTATGTGAAGTTCTTCTATATGTTGTCTTTTCACCTGTGGAATAATGATAGAGCCCCAGAAGTAATCTGGAGGAGTTTGCCCCCCTCCCCCCGGGTTTGCTAGAAAACGGGGACAGGACTTAGCCTAACATCTCTTGACTTTTACAAATCAAGAAATACAGGGACACTTAACTTGTCTTTGCAATAATTTGCATTCAAATAACAGTGCGTCAATGAAGTGTCTTGGAGACTTTTGGATGGAAGAAGGCAAATATGAAATCCCAGCATTTTCCATCACTTAGGGTTTAGCTATTTTGCAGTGTAGACTATTTGTTTTGTAAACGGCAAAACAAAATCCCAGATGAGTTAATTTGTATCGATTCTAACTAAGTGCTGCCATTCTTTTCCTTTTCATAATGCAGTATCGCCAGTACTTATGGTTTTAGAGATTTTTGTCCTCACTGTAGGCTGAAATGTATTTAGTCACATATCATGACATTATGCAATAAATTGTTTAAAAATGCAAGGTGGGTTTTTTCCCCTGCGATGCTGTTAAAATATGTGAGACTCTCTTGTGCTTTTCGCTCTCCATTTCATCCTTTAGATACAGAAGTTCAGTCCCAGAGGTCCGTCCTGTTGAAGTGAAGGGGCCTTTGTAGCTATAACCCCCCCATGCAGTTTCCGCAGCAGTACCGAGAGCGCTGGTGGCAGTGGTGCTGGCTTCTGTGGCGTCTCCGGCAGTGACGTGGGAGCACCAGTTATTCTCACTGCAAACCATTTTGCTCTGGGCCCTGTTGCGGAAACCCTCCTCTGTGCGTGTCATCCGGTTGATGCCAGCAGGACTATGCTCGTGGGTAGAGATGACTTGCGTATTAACTAAGTGTCTGTAAGCCCTAGTTTTGCCGTGCTGGTCTTAAGAGTAGTTGGCAAATGTTACCTGCCTGTATAAACGGCACGTGGGATATTTCTTCCCTGGCTGTTTCTGTGTGGAAGCACCTGCAGCGCTGGAGGGCAGGTGACAAATGGTGATAGTGGCATCACAAGCACATGAAAAAGCACAACTTGCACTTAAAATGCATTTTGGAAATGGACTTAAAGTAAGAACCTTTAGAGTCTTAGCTTGAGTAGTTTCTAATATATATGTGTATGCGTGGGTGTCGTAGACCTTTTCACTTTAAGATCTTTCACTTTTTTTCTATTTTCTTAAGCCTTGTGCTTGGTTACGGGCAGCAGCCACTGAGTGCCCTGAGCACTGTGGAGGAGCACCGTGCCCTAGCGCCTGGTCCCATGGCTGGAGGCTGGATTTCTGCAGGACTTCTGTACACCGGGGGCTCTGATAACTGAAGTGCATCTTTGATCTATGCAGAGTTTTAATGCCAAAACAGTATGTGTGACTGTGTGTGTTTTATGGGCCTCAGTGTAGATTATTTTCTTCATAAGGTAGTTTGGTTTTATTCTAGTTTAGAACATGTTAGTGTAACTGTTAGTCTGAATATGCAGCCTTATTTGTCTCTGTAATTGTTTTTTGGTCTGAGTCATGCTGGTAATGCAGAGTAAAGCTGCCTTTTAATGTATGTGTTATTTGAAGGGAGAGAGAGAGATTGTATGATAGGATTCACTTTTTTTTTTTTTTTCCACTCAGACTCACAGGACAGGTGTTTAGGAGATGACTAGGTGGCTGTCAGTCAGCTAGGGCTCTTGTCATGTCTGGTTCCTGGGAATAAAAGCTGTGAAATCAGATTTTTGCAAACAACATATGAAGATAATTCTTAGTTTAAAAAAAAAAATGAAAAAAAACCAACAAACAAGAAAACTCCAAAAATCCCCAAACAGAAGACAAAACCAGAAAATGTTGGTTTTGGTCTTCAGTGACTTTCGTTGTCCTTCAGAAGTGAGCTTTTAAGTCAGAGAATGTGTGTGCCTACACAGATACTGTGCTGTTGCCTAAATGAGGATTATTGAGCCCAGAAGCCTTTAGGCGAGAACAGCTGGAACTCATTTGTCATGGCAGAGCACACCTGGACTGGGCCCTGCGCTTGGACCGGTTGAGTACCAACTTTTCCCCATGCACAGATCTCAGCAAAGTGAGCCTTGAAGTTGCCTTCAAAGTCACCTCTTGGGAACACACTTTCTTTGAAGACAGCCCTTTGTCATCTTTTGCCATCTCTGCATGCCGGTGGTTTTATGCACTTCCCATTAACATTGTCCAGTATGATGCGTGCACTGTTGTCTCTTAATTTTTCTTGACTGAGGAAATTTTTGTTTGCGTGGAAAGTGTAACCTGTTCTAGTTCTGTAGAAAAGATTTGTTTAAAAAGAACTTAGTATTTGCTCACCTAATTTTTGCATTTCCTCTTGTATTTTCGCCTTCTAATCGTATTCTGCTGTCCAAAGCTAACGTGCAGCCAGTATACCTGTCAGCTCTGAAAGTGTAGTCACCTGTTGCTTGCAATCTTCTACTTTTGTTTTGGGGCCTCTTACAGGAGTCAATATGGTATTTTCTGATGAATATTGTTGATCTCCGATGGGGGTGCTGCCAATCATACAATGTTGCAACAGTGTGTGTTTTCTCTTTCTATTTTTTCTCATTGTGAGAGAGAATATGCACTTTCTAACAACAGAATGGTAAAAGAAGGAATATCAGAATTAGATAGCACTACCAATCTTTACAGGCTTAGAAATTGGCGATCTCTGAAGACAGGTAATTCTATGAAGCATTTATGGAAAACTCCCTTTGAAAATATCCAGAATTAATACACTGTATTCCACAGCCACTCAAATGAAGCTTTGTAAATGATAAAAGATTTCTGCAAACATTGTAGAGTTAATCATGTAGATTATACCTCCATACTGGTGTTCTGGTTTATGTGTATCATGCATAAAACCCACGTAATATGTGTGTAGAGTTTTCTTTGTGATGGATCATATTAGCTTGAATTCTGGTTGCATCTCCTGACATTGCCCAGTAACCCATCTTCCCAAAATTCAGTCCAGTGATGTCCCTGCTTTAAAAATTTTCAAGTTAAAAGATTGTTTTTTTTAAATGTACCTTCAAGAAATAAAGCATTATGACCTCTATCCTACTGCAAAGGTTAATTTTTCCCTTATGTGTCTTGGCACGGCTCCCTTTTTGGAGCTAAGTATGCCCCATCTTTGGTGTTTTCCTATGATCTTGCAGGACTAGAAAAGGCAAGGGGGTTAGCAACAGAAAAGAGGTTTCTCTCCCAGTTTCCTGATGGAGCACTCGGCACTTAGCTCTCATTCTGGGTGTGCATGTAGCCTGACTGTGGTTGGGTTCATCTCCGTGCTGTACGAGCAGGCTCTGTGTATGTGGCGCTGCTTAAAAGATGTGAGTGAGGAAAATGAAGACCAGTGCCCAGGCAACGGAGCAGTGTTCAGATCCCTTTCCTGTAGCATGTGGCATGTACAGAATTCATGGTACTTTGCGTAATAGGTTGTTTTTGTCAGGGAGGACCTACTTAAGCTGCTCCTAGTCTTGTCACTGATCTGCACTTAACCCGGTCTCAGTCTGATGTGATTTTATTACAGCATGCTTCTTCCCTGAAGTATAGAAACTCAGATGCATGCCCCATGTACAAGTTCTTGATGGCTAGTGAGGAACGTATTTACGTTCCTGCAGTTGTGGAATCTGCGGGAACCATGGGTCAAGCTGTGCTTCATTTGGCTTTTTATTATTGCTTGCCCACTTCTCCCACCAGTATGTGCCAGCTGGAAGCTGCTTCTGTTATTCCAGATCTCTGAATTTTTGTGTTGCAGAAATAAAAAAAACCAAAAGTGTCGCTGAGATTTCCCCCCCCCCCCCGTGAATGTGGTTCAGGGAAGGGCAGGGAGTGAAATGACATTGTTTCTGAAAGAATGCACTTTCTTTGCAATAGGGAGGAAAGCCTCGTCCTGCTGGAGAGCCCCGTGCGTAGGCTGTCTGGAGCAGCGCAGTCTGAAGCGGTCATTTCTAACCCTGCCAGGTAGTGAGATGTTAGACCTTAGAACTGACACTCTGATCTGTAAGGAATGTTTGAATGGTTTGGAGAAGATTGATTACTAACCTTTCTCTGACTCTGAGTCCTGAACGCTCATGATAGCTAAGGTAACCTGATTTCATAGGGAAAG